GCCCTCGCTCTGCCCATCCTGGCTCCCTCGACCTCTGCCCTCTCCTCCTCTCACCGCCACACCTGGGAAGGGCCCCCAGCACCTCCCGCGCCGGCTGCCCTTACTTTCTGCCACCCCTCAGCTCCCGGCCCTGAAGGCAGCCAAGGCCCAGGGCCCCTCCTGGGCTCTGCGCCTGGCCTGGCTCTACGGCGACCCTCCTGGAGGCTCCGCGGCCCCTCGGCACCCAGGATACCACCTTCTCGTGGTTTTTCTCCTCCCTCCCTGACCCCTCTTGGCCCTGTTATTTATTTACATATTTATTTATGTATTTATGATTTATTTATTGACACCCCTACCTTGATCTAAAAAGGCGTCAAGGCAGATCTGACCATTCCTTCCCTCTCTTCTCCTTGCCCCACCATGTGGACACGCCTTGCATCGGCATCCTCGGTCCCCCGACGCTCTCCACCAGCAACCTCGTGCCTGCCTTCCCCCCTCTCTAGGAGTGCCCCCCCTCCGTAGCCCAGCCCTCCCCCGAGCCCCCCGGCTGGGATGGCACCTGCTCGGACACTCGCCCTGTCTGCTCTAGCGGCAACACCGTAAGCTCAGCACCTCTGAAGCCAAGTGGGTCCTCTCTGCCTCCCCCCCCCCACAATCCCTCCTTTGTCTTTTAGAAGACCTGTGATCCCCTCAACCACCTGGGCCAAGACCCTAACGTCATCTTCAACTCCTCTCCCACGACTCCCTTGCTACTCCTTCCCACTAGCACTAACGTTGCTCTTTACTTGTTTGTCTCTTAGGCCAGTTGACAGCAGTCCCCTCTCCCAGGTTTCCTCCATGCTCACCGACACATTCTCCAGCCATCCCGAACGTGCTCAGCAATTTGTATGTCCAGCCACCCACAAACCTTTCAGAGTTCCGCTGACTCGCGAACAAGCATACGATTCTTCACCCTGACATTACAGACCACCCGATAAGGCCTCATTCTTCCTTTACACCCTTCACCAGTCTGTTGAGAATAGCTGTTCCTGGAAGGGGCGCCTGCATTTCCCTGTCTGTGCCTTTGGTCTTGCTGTTCCCGTCCCCTGGAATGCTCGCTTTTGTTCCCTTCGAGGCCCACGCAGAGACCACGTCTTTCACGAAGCCCTCCCCGACCTACCAACCGCTGGGATCTCTCCCTCTGCTGAACCACCGTAGCACTTTATTTGTACCTTTCTCATGGCACTTACCATATTCTGCCTTGTATTATAGTTATTCGTGCACTTGTCCTAGGACCGTCCTTAGACTGTAAGCTCGCCAAGGGCAGGGACTGTGTTTTGTTCATCTGTATCCATCACCGCACTAGGCGTGGTGCATAGCACACAGCAGTTGCTCAATAAATGTTTGTTGGATTAAATCCTTAATGCCTGTAGAGGGCTTTATAGTTAATGAAGTTGTTTTGCCTTCATAATGTCACAAGAACCTCCAAAACGTCATGTGGGTTGGGCCAAAGCAGAAAACATCATCCCCATTGTATAGGTCATAAAACTGAGTCAGAACCCTGCAGGAAGCCTCATAGCCACTGGTAGAATTTTCACTCAGGTCTTCTCATCCTCACTCCAGGGCTTTTTCTGTTAATTGTTGTGGTTGGTGGCTGTAATGTGGAAGGTGACCCTAACCCTGGTGCCACAGGGCTGGGCACAGAGACTGGGCAAAGCTCTGCATGAGCCCCAGCACATGTGCCCGTCAACACATATCCTCGCTCCTTCCTGGGGGGGACGAAAGCCATTTGGGTTTTATCAGGCCTGGGGAGTGGAGCGATAGGACCTCATCAGTCATTCCCACTGCTGTTGCCGCAGGGTAAGAAACCACGCGGTCCAGATGGCAGAGAGACCGACAGCTCCGAGGGGCTGCTGTTTGATAAATCTCTTCATGCCTAATTAAGGCTCCCCTTCCAGAATGAACGGAACAGGGATGTTTATTGATGCCAGTCAGATGGGACTCCAGACGTGCGTACTGCCTCACAAACGCCCTTAATGGCGTCCCCAACGACACCAACAGCCTGCCCAGCCCGCTGGCTCTCACCAACGCTGCCGGGTGCCATTTCCTCCCATCATCATCCCCATTCTTCACTTCTTCTCTCCAGGGCTCTCCTCTTGGCGCCCACCAAGGGCAGGGCGAGCCCCGAGAGCCAAATGGCGGCTTTCTTCTCGAGTCACTGAGCCTGACCTAGAGCGATGCTGTCAGATGGCAGGAAGGGACGGGATGGGGAGCTCTATTGGCACCCCCAGTGGAAGCCAAACACAAATAGGTTTCTGTTCTGGTGGTACAACAATGAGAGGTTTCCATGGTTACTGTCTAGAAGCAATATTTTAGTTGTCTGGAGGCTTTATGATGGGGGTAGTTTAATTTCCATCCTTAGCAGTCCCAGTGGTGGGGCAATTCCACACACAGTACATTGAGCCTGGATCCAGCCCCAGATCATAGTTTGTCTAGAGTCACCCTGGTTGTCTGTAGCCCAAGCCCAACAGAGCCACCCAGCAAGAACGCTAAAGATCCCTTGTGCCTTTCTTAGTCTTCCTCGCCACCTCCTCGGCCATCCCACCTGCCCCCGGATCCTGGGGTGGGAAATGGGGCTCCCAGGGGGTTCCAAGAACTGTGTCAAGAAAGACCTCAAATGCTCCAGCCATGACAGCATTTTGAAATGTCAAAGCGGCCTCTCCAAAACTGACCCAGCACCAGCTGGGAGCAGCCAATCCTCAAGGAATTAATAGAAAATGAGGCCAGACAGCCAAGAAGTGGGATGACGGGTCCATGCGGCCACAGGAGGAGTGCAGACTTGCAGGCATCGTACCAAGGGGAGCTAAGTGGGGTTGGCGCAGGAAACGCCCCTTCAATTTAGTTCCAAGAGCCTTCGTTTTCTAAAATGAGACCGTAACGGTGGAGCTCCTGCACAGTCAGGGGAGGGTGACCAGCCCATCAGAACAGGAGTGCTTACGAGATGTGGGGTGTTTGCAGGGAGACCACTCTGGGGCGGGCGGTTTTGCCCAACAACAGCAGCTAGGATTGCGCTCTCTCATCCCAGCGGCCAAGGTGGCGAGAGTATAGCTCCCTGTAATAATAAGGGTGGGACGGGCTGCTTGGCTGTGTCTTGCGCTCTGGGCAAGAGCTCTGGGATGGATGAACACCAGATGATCTGGACGCCTGCCACTCAGGAGCCTCAGCAACACGGATGGGGCTGCGAGGCTCTGGTGTTTTCCCATCTGTAAAATGGAGAAGACATGTACCTACCTCCTTTATGAAGCTATTGCAAAGATGCAAAAATAGGATGGGGTAGGTAGAGAAATTGGGGTGGGGAGGCTCAGTGCTCTAGAGCAAATGAAATGTGTGCAGCTGTGACTTTTCAGGATTCTGCCTGTCCAACATCAGATCGAGTCACTGCCCTGCTTAAACCCATCGGTGGCTTTCCCTCACCCTTGCAGGAAAATTCTGAGCCTCTTACCATGGCTTATGAGGTCTTGAATCCTCCTCCCTATGGGTCACTGTTATTCTGGCCTCAGGGCCTTTGCACTTGCTGTTCCCTCAGCCTGGAAAGCTGCTTCCCAGCTCCTTGCATGAGGCCTCCTCCTCATCTTTCAAGCTTCAAATTGAATGTCACCTCCTGGGGAGTCCGTTTCTGGTCTCCCTCAGCTAATTACTTTCTGTTACATACCACATTATCCTGCTAGGTGGTCTTCATAAACTATCTACATTATCTCATTTATTTTGCAGTTTCTCAACCCCAAGAAGCTTTATAAAAGATCCCAAATGCTCAGGCCACACTCCAGACAAGTGTAATCAACATCTCTGGAAGCTGATCACAGACCTCCTCCTAGCACACAACTAGGATCGAGAAACACTGACATATTTGCTCGCGTGTTTAGCGTCTGCTTGCCCTTCTAGGATATGCCAGGGGGACTTGTTTTCCACAAGGGTCACCTGTGCCCTCAGTGGTGGAAGTGGCCGTCCTCCAAGGTAATTGTTAATGACTCTGCCTGGGGTGCTGGCAGCAGGCTGGCAATGTGACCACGACCCTGGCACTCTCGATAAGCACAGACTGGCTTTGAATGTCCCATAGGTGGGACACTTTTTCCCTTGCAGCTGCAGGCAGACGTCCAGCGTTTGTACCCCTTTAGCTGAGCTGGTCAGCAGAGTTTTTCCAATTGGACCCGCTCAGAGAACTTCACGACTCTTGCCTTACACATGAGGCTCATTCCTGGCCTGGGTGGGCATGAGAACCCCACTCCCACCCCGAAGACCTTTACCAGCTCAGCTGTACACTGGAACCACTGGGGGCCTTTAAAAGCCCCTAAAACCTGGGGGTTTTGATGCCACTGGTCTGGGGAGTGGCCTGGGCATCTCTAGAAGCTCCCCAGGTGGCGCTGAGGTGCAGCCCCTGCAGGGAACCCAGACCTGGTGTCTGAAGCCCTACAACCTCTTCCATGGCAGCCCCTCTCGGGCCCCTGGTTTGAAGTCTTTCTTCTGTATCTGGTTTCTGGGGTTTCCCTTCCTTGATTTCGAGCTTAGCTCTGTTTTGTCTGGTGGGTTACGTTGCTGCTGCTACTGTGTCAGTCACGTCCAGGATTCTGAATTGCTGCGAGCCTGCGGCAAGAGGAAAAGCCTGTCCACCACGTTGCCTGCCTCCCCACCCAAGCTCCGTGAGGACAGGGCCTTGTCTGGCACGTTCACTGAAGGGACCCCACCTGCTAGAACTGGGCCTGGCACAGAGGAGGCACTTAATAAACTCCTGTCCCATGCACAAAAGAATGAGTGTGGACTACGTGGACATGTGAGTGCTCCAAAGGAAGGCTTGCACCTCACCCATCCCAGAGCAGGAGGGAGTCCCACCTAATGGGAGCGAGCAGGGGTCACCCCCACTTCCCCAGCTAGGCCATGCCTCCCGGACCCTGCATGAGATGATTTCTGTAACGCTTGTCCGTACAACAGCCCTGTGTGTGGTGCTGCCTCTGCCTCGCAGATTAGAGAACCGTGGATCTCAGAGGTTAAAGACTCATCTGAGATGCCAAAGTGTGAATGAGTGGATGGTTTCATGCCAAAGCCAACACTGTTCACACCAGCCCATGCTGAAAGCCCCTGAAGGCCACTTAATTCTGTCAGCCCTCAGCCATCTTGTCATAGTGTGATCCCGCCCGCGGGAGGGAGAGGAGGACGGACAGAACTCCCCCTCCTACTGCCCGGACTCTTCACAGGCCACTGCTCTCCTCTGGAGCTTCCCATTGGTGGAGCTGATGCAGACCCGGACCACAGCTGTGCAGCAAAGTCAAGGTCAAATGCATCCTTGCCAGGTGTTCAAGAGTCACAGCTCTGAGCTCCCCAAGTGCCCTGTGCTACAACACCGTGGCCAAGGGCCATTCTGACTGGTCAAGGCCCCTCTGAGTAAGGAAGTACTTTGCATATCACTCCCAGACCCTCCAGGCAAGAGACTAAGGAACAGGGGCCTGTTTGGGTGTTTGGACCACTGAGCAGGACACCAGAGCCTCCCCACACTGGTGTTCTCATGGCAGCCCCTCCTGGAGAAGTGACTGGCTTTCTTCTTTCCTGCTTTCCATGGACGTATCCTTGACCCAAAGAAGACATTCTGTGTAGCTCACGTGAGTGCAGACTGCAAATCCATTAGTGGACGCATCGAGTAGCACAAGGAGAGGCATCTTACGGCAGTCTGCCAGGACCAGTGACAGGCAAGTGATTGCCTTGAATCATCTCTGTTCAAAGCACATTGAATAGATGCTTCACGTGGACCAACTCAGTCCTCACAGCCACCCATTGGAGGTAGATGCTGTTATTATTCCCGCTCCATAGAGGAGAGGAAAAGAGGTTGATTAACTTGACCAAGCTAGGAAGTGGTTGAGCTGGGATCTAAACGCAAACCCTCGGGCCCCAGAGTAGTGCAGAAAACGTACCCCTAAGGCTCTGGGGGCTGCTGAGTGGCCAGTGAGCAAGCCAGCCAGGTCCCATACCAGTCTCAGCCCTCCTCACCCCCTGCTGTCACCCCCATGCTCATCAGTGCAGCACCAGTGACAGGCTCTGTCTGCACAGCCCTGGCCCGTGGCTGCTGCCACCGCCTTTGCAACTGGACAGGGAAGCTGACCCTCCTCCTCTGCACGCACTGGCCCACATGGCCCCGTGTCTGGGGATGAGATGGGAGCGGCCAAACCACAGGCTGCTGGGAACAGAGGCCAGCCTGGAAGTGAGAAGTGAAACCAGCAAAGCCGAGGATGGAGCAAATGAACCCAGCAGACTGTGGAAGGGCAGGGACTCGATCTTGAACACTGCAGGATGCTACCAGCTGTCCCAGTCAGGAGCTTCGCTCCAGCAGCCTGCCTCGAAATTAGGGGTTTGCACCAGGCTGGGTTACAGCAGAGAAGGGGCCCCCAGCCCTTTTTTGCTGTGTCAGGGAAACCAGGCGACCTCAGTTGGCCCAGGCCTGCCCCTGCCTACTCACTTCCTGCCAGAGCTGCATGGGTCCAGCCACTCATCTCCTGCCTCTGTTTCCTTATCAGTAAACTGGGAGTAAGAAAATCTACCTGGTTCAGTAGCTCTTGTGATTAAACCAGACAAGGAGCTTCAAGCTCTTCACTCGCTACAAGCATTAGATCAGGGCAACTCACTTCCTTCTCCCCTAGGCCACAGCCTCAGGCCAAGGGGGCAAAAACTAGTTTGTGGTGAGTTCTGCCCATCCCCTCCTGGCTCAGCCTGCCTTCTTCGCTGGTGTTGAAGCAAGTGGGTAAGGCCTGGCATGCAGTAGGTGCCCAATAATGAATGAATGCCTGTTGAATGAATGAATGAATGAATGCTTCCCTGTTTCCTGAAAACATTCCTCTCTGGCTGCTCAACAGGTGGGCTCGGTTTTCATGCCTGAGCAAGATAGGTACGTTTCTCTGCCTCCCTCTACCCGAGAGCTACAGTTAGGATCTGAGTGAGGTAACAGACAACATCCCAAATTTGATGTCAGCACCCCTAAGTTCTCACCCTGTTGCATACCAGACGAGCTACTTTTCTGCAAATAGCTTTGTGTTCCTGCAACAGCCTGGGTCAAACAGCCATCGCTCTCGCCTTCTGGTTGCTGGGTGTCTTCCAGGTGCCAGCCACTGCCCTGAGCACTTCGACTAGGCCGTTTCATTTCCCCACCAGCTCTCCGAGGTTGGTGTTATTTATCCCCATTTTATGGGTAAGAGACAAGGCCCATGGCTTGTCACATAGCTGGTAAGTGGCAGAGCTGGAATCCAACTCAGGTCAAACATTCGTCTTATGAATCTCTGCCTCCCTAATCTACACAGCAATCAAAGCCCATTGATTTATTCTTTCATTCATCTCTGTCTTAGCTCAGACTGCTACAATAAATATACCATTGACTGGGTGGTTTAAAACACAAACATTTATTTATCACAGCTCTGGAGTCTGGGAAGTCCAAGACCAAAGTGCCAGCAAATCGAGTGTCTGGTGAGGGCCCACTTCCCGGTTTGGGGGTGGCCATCTCCTTGCTGTAGCCTCACACGGCAGAGAGCAGAGAGACGGGCAAACTCTCAGTCTCTTTTCTTAAGTGCACCAGTCCCACTCACGAGGGCCCCACCCTCGTGACCTAACCACCTCCCAAAGGCCCCACCTCCTAATACTATCGCACTGGGGGCTTGGATTTCGACATATGGATTTGGGGGGACAGAAACATTCAGTCTGTGGAAATCTCTTTACCACTTAAGAAACATCAGGGAGGAGCCAGACACAGTGGCTTACTCGTGTGGTCCCAGCTACTTGGGAAGCTAAGGGGGGAGGATCACTTGAGCCCAGGAGCTGGAGGCTGCAGTGAGCTATGATCGTGCCACTGCACTCCAGCCTGGGTGACAGACCGAGACTCCATCTCAGAAAAGAAAAGAAAGAAAAAGAAAGAAAAGAAAAGGAAGATCAGGGAGTGCCCAGTAAATGCCGTGGCACGTGAACACCGTCCTTGCTCCTGCGGCTCACAGCCCGGCAGTGGGCATGCAGGACAGACATACGACCCAGCGCTGTGAGGCTGCTGCAGAGGAGGAGGAAGCATGTGAGTTCCCCAACTTGTCCATCCTCTCCATGATGACATTTGCTACTGAGGGGAAGCAGAGCTTTGAAGTACACCCTAGGAACTGAATCCATGTGCCTGGGAAGATGGCTCTTCTTTCCTCGACAGACACAGGGACCGCAAAGGGAGAGTCAAGGCTCGGACACTCTGGCCCCCACACGCCCACCCCTAAAGCTTGGCACCCTTCCGGCTCTGGGGCTCTGGGATGTAGTACACATATACGGTACACACCCTACACCAGTGAGCCTCCCAAGAGATCTCACTAACAAGAACAGGGCAAGAGGAGGAAGGAGGGCTTCACGTGTGTGCCAAAGAATGTTGGCTTCCACTCATTCACCCAACTTCGCAGACACCACAGACAGGCAGCAGTGAAACAGGCCCTGCTCTGGGCATTGTGGGGCACACGGCCCCTGCCTTGTAGAGCTCAAGTCTAAGAGAAGGATCGTTATACAACCACTGGTAGAATGAAATAAAGGCGGAAATGCCAATCCATGCAACTGGAGGGAGCCAGAGAAGGATTCACAAAGGAGATAATAGACGAGCTGGGTCTTGAAGAATGAGTGGGTCTTGAGAGTTGGATGTCAAGTCTCTGGACACCCCTCTGGGATGGTTCCACCCTCCTCGATGGCAGCAAGGGACAGGGGAGGTGCTCAAGCAGCTGGCTACCACACTGCTGCCAACCCCTGCCAACTTACAAAGGCCACCAAGAGAACAAGCTCCCCCACCACACGTCCAGCCTCCCCTCTATGTCATAGTGCTGCCCCAGGTGAGGCCACCCAGATTCTCAGGACCCTTGATTTGTGGATAAAGGTCTCATCCATGCCAGGGAAGAGGATAGGCAGTTGCCTGCCCAGTATGCACCGAGACCTGCAGTCTCTGCTTGCTTTCTTCCAATCAAGTCCACCCTCATGTCCTCATCCTCTTGGCACCTTCCACCAGGGTATGGCTGGTGAGACTTCTAATCACAGTTTCCCTGATTTGTTTATGGCTCTTCTCACGGAAATACCATTCACCAGGCCAGCCTTTGAGGAAATGCTAGCTTCGCAGGATTGCTGTCAACTGCACAGGCAATTGAGGTACTCATCAGCTTTCTCCTGGTCTTCCTTTGGGAGGATGGAAGTTTCTAGCCACCCTCCAATGGGAGTCAAACTAGACAGAAAGTAATGGCTGCTCCACAGATCACTGAGCTGGTGAGCAGGACCCTTCACTGTCTCTGACCACAGCAAGGAAGGGGAATGGGGCTCTCAGTGTGTTCTTGGCCAGGCCCTCTGCTCCACTTGGTCAAGTCCACCTGTGCTCTTGGATCTTCTCACCTGTGGTCATGCTCTGTGGCTCCTGCCTCTTAATCTCATTACTTATTCTTAGTCCTTATTGAATGGGACCCACTTTCTTGATTTGCTTAACACTTTTAATTCTACCAACACAACAGAATTATATCCACACATATATAAGGACAACATTATTCCATTACAAAACCCTTAAATAGCATCTAAACAAATACATGTTCATTATTTATCTTAATATACATGCTTCCTCTGAAACAACAGATTATCTCATCAAATCTACCCAACAGTAAAAAGAAGTTGGTGTTAGAGGGATAGGGATCCCTAAGCCATCACCAGCAGTCGGGCGTGGGAATTCAAGGTCACAAATAAAAGACACGTAAAAGTCAGGGCCCAAGCTGGGGCATGGTGGCTTGTGCCTGTAGTCTCAGCTCCTTGGGAGGCTGAGGTGGGAGGATTTCTTGAGGCCAGGAGTTCAAGATCAGCCAGGGCAACATAGTGAGACCCTGTATCTTAAAAGAAAAAATCAACCAGAGCCTAACTCAGAAACCACAAGTTCCTCTGTGTCCAAGATGGCTCTCCTTTCTTTCTGGGCTCTGAGTCTGCTCCTTCTCCTTTCCTCAGCCACGGGCTCCACAGTGCCCAGTCTTGAGATGTATCATGTCCATTTTCCTTCTCCTGGGCTCACCCTGCAGTGACCTCCACTAGTTCATGCCTGTTCATGACTCTTCTCTTCCATCTGACCCAGCACACTGAATGGACCCCCGAGTGACCGACCCCTGGCTCGTCTCAGGGTGACTCTAAAGAAATCTCTCCTGGCACAGTGCAGGTGGGTGAAGACAGGAATTTCCTGGGCCCACCCCTAGACACTCCACCCCCAGCTGGGATTAGGGCAGGAGGGAACTGCATTCAGGCCTCACAAGAAGACAAAAGCTCAGATGGAAGGAACCATCTTAACTGTATATAACATTGAAATTGCACCTCTCAACTCCAATCTGAGTGGCCACCAATAGAAAATGGAAGAGACATATCCCTGTTACTTGATGAAGTCCCTCTTCATATTTACTCCCTTATCTGGATTGATTTTGGTGGGGGGGAAATAAGATAAAGACTCAGAGGTTAAAACAAGGCTTCGTCTTTTACCTAAAACCTGCATGCAAGAAGGACGTGAAAAGAACCTTCGTAAGCAGAAGCAGATTGACGATCACATTGCTAAATGTATCAAAATTACAGGCTTTCTATTATACCAGGGTATGACCTAAGACCCTCTCTGAAAAGTGCCTTGTGGTCTGCACAGAAGGAGGGTCTTCATGCGTCTCTGCAGATAAGGGAAGACAAATTA